TATAGATAGGAACTACCTACGAAAAAAACAACGATTCTACCTACACATCAGCGTTTTGTAGTTTGTTATGGCGGATTGAACTAGGGATGTAACTAACTTTTGAAACAGTAAAAAAATATCGATATTATTATTACTATAATTATTTTTGATGAAAGTTTTTATTAGTTTTAATTAAATTAACAGTCATCATCATCAAACACAACAGCCGGAAGACGTCCACTGCTGGATAAAGGCCTCCCCTTAGAATTATCAATAAATGTTCCTAATATTATTTTTTTATCCAGCTTTGCTTTTTAAGTAGCACCACGCGTATACATACGCGCGACATTCGTTTCCTGTGACAATGTTTACTACTGAGTCCACTCTATTCCAAATAATTATTGGCAACATCTATTTAGTAGTTATTGTGAAACTAGCAAACATTTTTGAAATGAAATAAAATGAAACCTTTGTTTGGTTTTTAATAGTTTGGATGACTTTTTAAACTAATAATTGTCTTCCAAAAATACTCACCAAAGGATCTTGAGTTGTAACTTCATTGTGGTCTTTTTCAGACACTACACCAGATACTTTTGGTCTAGTTGGAGGCTGCAACATGCGAAAATGTCAAATGATTGTTATTTAGTAAATAAAAATTCTAGAAAATTATATCTTATAATTTTACACTATTATATAAATATGACGAGTATTTTTGTTTGAGTGCGCTAATCTCAGGAACTACTGGTCCGATTTGAAAAAAATCTTTTTTGTGTGGGTTAGTACCTACATTTATCGAGGAAGGCTATATAGGCTATAAAATATCACGATATGACCAATAGGCGCCGAGCAGATCGGGTGAACCGGCGCGGCTAGTTTAATATAAAGTTTGTAGGCCGCCTCTTCAAAACAATGCTTCTCAAACTAATACAAGAACAAAATACATAATGGATAGATTGTATTATGATTTACCAATAGACTTTGTGACGGTAGAGCCCCATCACGTAGTTTGACTATATGCATTGTTCGATTAAAACAGGAGTCTTCGAAATGAAGTGAGCAAACATAGACGTGTTTTCTTCTCATGTCTATATTCTCCACACCAATTATCTCCAACCAAGCGCTTCTGCTTGGTTCAATCACAGGCAAACTAAAAAGAAAATGTATTAAAGTTATCATTTTTTATAGTATCATCACTCTTTTCATAGAAGAGATATGAAAGAATCGTAGCAATTGGCGGCCATAATCTCTGCCCATTCCCAAGGGAGACAGGCGTGAGGATATATATGTATATATGTTAAGCAGACTCTGTCATAACACTTTAATAAATATGCTCAAAATGTCTTAAAGTTATATTGCATTTAATTTGCTTACTTCATTCAAAATCAAAACCCTCGGTGTTTGATAATCGATTACTAAAAATTTAAAACTGAACTTTAGCTGTAGGTATTTTTCGTTATTTTCTATGTATACAATTAATTAATAAGATTATGTATTTTCTTGAGTTTCGTTTTACATCAAATCAACACATTTTATTTTTCAGTGTACGTATTATGCCAAAGATTAAATTATATCGATACGGCAACAAAACAACCTTGTACATCACTATTTTGCAAAGAAAAAGTTTTAAGGCGTATTTTAACTAAAATTATTGGAAAAAAGCACAGCATTTGATAGAAAAGTATGTAATGTATTTAGTCTATTTGCAGTACTTTAAGATATTTTAATGAATAAGTAAAGCATTACTTACTGATGTATTGTTACACCTGCCAATTTGGAAATACTTTTGGTGCCACATCCAATAACACTACAACCGGGCATCGTTCTTGTCACTAACTTTTTATCTCGCACAAAAATAACACGAACACTACGATATTTTCGAATAAAGTTAGAGTAACTTACGCTTTGACAGCTGAACTACTAAAGTACTAACTACTGACACTTGACAGTGACATAAACTGATAACAGTGCCAAATTCTGCAACCCTGCGCATTTTTATGACGTCACAATATTACTGCCAGAGTAAAAAAGATGAGTTGTCTCTTTCTGCTTAGGCCACTGATATGATAAGAGTATGGATAAGAAACAACTAGGAAAAAATCGTGCCTACATAAACTTCACTTGGTCACCCGTAATGGCGGATAGAACTAGGGATGTAACTTTTAAAACTGTAGAAATATCGATATTTTAGAATTGGTTTTAATTGTCTTATCAAAAAATATCATTATTTTATGATTCATCTGGATTTAATTTTTATGTAGCTGCTAAACATTACCAACATATTAGCGAAATATATTTAGTAGTTGCTGCGTGCACTGTCACTCCAGTCGATCGTGCCTATACATTCACATCATAACTTTCACGATACTTATGTATCGAAATTCATGAAAAGGATTTTCCATCAACTGGTCAATATTTATATACTTAAGGTTAAGTAATTTTTGAGGGTTGAAAAATAAAACTGTATCAAAGTATTCATAAAATCAAGATTTATAATATACAATATCTTCGTATTTTTCGTAGTGTTTCCCTGTAATGTAATCTGCAAAACCATCTTTCGAGAAGACTCCAGAACTGGTTCCAAGTTCATTTTCATGCACATATCTGGCTAGAGGCTGCAACATAAATAGTATAATTTAACTTACTTGATCCAATTGAACATAGATTTTTCTATAGATTCTATAGGTACTGTACTAAGCTCTGAACGAAAATGTTTGTACATTACAATGATAGTGATAGATAGCGGAGGAAAACAGAAACATATAGGTACAAGAACCCGGTTAGTTATGAACTTAATATAAATGTTAAATAAAATGTTAAGTTTGCACCTCTTCAAAAAATGCTTCCAAAACTAATATAACAAAACACATAATGAATCGTTTACATTATGATTTACCAATAGAGCTTGTAGCGATAGGGCCCCATCACGTAGATTTACTATTAATTTATTGTTCGGTTAAAACATTAATCTTCAAAATAAAGTTAACAAACAAAGATATGTTTCCTTCTAGTATCTATATTTCCCACATTAATTATTTCCAGCCAAGAACTTCTGCGTGGTTCAAGCACAAACTAAAAAGAAAATTTATAATATTATTAAAATTATCGGCAGAGTTCGACACATTCTAATAAATACTCTAAAAATACCCTAAAGTTATATTTCATTGGTTTGTTTCATTTGAATCCGTCGAGCGGCATTTGATAAAAAAATCAATTTTGACAAAAATGCATTTCCCACAATATTATTCCTTATCTCATATTGTACAAAAATTATTCTCTATTGTATTAATTCTTTATTACATTACGTAGGTATTGACGATGGTGGAATTTTGTCGATAAAATGAAATTTTTGACGAGTACTTAATGTTTTTTGTATTTTGTCATTATGTCAAATTAATGCACTATATCATTCAGAATTTAGTATAGTTCTTTGTTCTACTTTTGACGCATTTATTATGTACGATAAAATTATCGATACGGGAACAATCATGTACATCACTATTTTTTAATGAAAATTGTTTTAGACGTATTTCAACTAAAATTAATGAAAATAAGCACTGCATTAGTTAGAAAAGTATTGTATTTAGTCAATTTGCAGCAACCACACTTGAATAGTTTGAAAAACAGAGATATTTTAATGAAAAATAACAGTACTTACCGATGTAATGTTACACCTGCCGGTTTACTAATATTTTTAGTGCTACATCCAATAACACTGCACCCGGGCATAGTTCTTCTCACTAACCAATAATTTCTTTGTTTACCACGCACAAAAACAACAGGAATTCTACAAATTTTCGTAAAAAAATATTGTTGACCAATGCTTTGACAGCTGATGTACCACTGACATGCACTGATAACAGGGACTAAGATGGCCAATTTGGCACAACTAGGTTTTTCTGATGACGTCAAAAAATTATGGCCAGAATGACAATAATGTGTTGTCTCTTTCTGCATAAACAAAGAGACATAAGTAAAAAAGAAACAACAGTATGTTTATGAATTTACCGTCAAGATGGATCCTAAATTCTACCCGTAGACAATAGCCAGACATCTATGTTATATTTATAAATCTATGGCTTAGGCAAAAAGGTAATGAAAAAATTATATGTTTATTATTTTACTGTCGAAATACGTCTTGAATTCTACCCATAGGCAATCACGTAGAATCTGTATATCGATGGTATTTTATTGTGTGAAATATGGAAAAATTATCTATCTATTGACAATGGATATAACAACACAGGTTTATCCGCTTTAAGTAGCCCGCGAAATTTAAATCTTCCTAAGGTATATATACAACACAAAAATATGCTTGTTAAAAAAAAAAGTATAAGGTAATAAGTTTAGCCTCCTACAGGCGTACAAAGTTGACTGTTGCAAAAAATTAGGTTATTGTACGACACTTTTTATTCGTTTCAACAGCCAATATATCAACCTTCACCAATCTGTCAAATTTACTAATTTAATTTTCGACTTTACGTTGAGTAACAATAAGGTTGAAGATCTAATTGATTGAAAAGGATAGGATGACCTGCTGGCCACTGTACATTGTAGACCATATGGCTGGTTTTAAGTTTAAATGTGTATGTTTGTGCACCTCCTTTAGCTCACAGGCCTTAAGTTAAAACAATATACAAGATTACTAAATGAGACTCGGTAGCCAAAAAAGAAAAGAAAAAAAAAACATAACAACACAACATAACATCACGCCTATTTATCCCCGAAAGCCACTACTATGTAACACCCACCTTTCACTATTTATGTTATAGATTCTCATGTAAGCCTATTGTCATATACTGGGCACATTTCCAGACTCCATGCTACTACTGAAAATTTTAAAAACCTAATAGTACTTTGCCCGACCCTGGAATCGAACCCCAGACCCCTCGCCCGGCAGTCGTACTTGCGACCACTCTGCAATCGAGGCAGTAAAAAAAAGATTACTACAATTGGTTGGTGAATCATAATGTTCGGCACATAATGAAAGGAAAAATAAAACAAGAAAATAAAGAATAAAACATCTATTCTTCCATTGTCTGTACCCCCCACAACTTGATTTCATCCTCACAAGCCGTAATTAAAAAGTTATCAGTTGGATGATGGTTCAATGACACAACAGGTCTATTTTCACTATGCCTCAACTTCTGAGTACATTTACTGCTTATTAAATCATAATAAAAAACTTCTCCGGTAGCAGAACCACATATTATATGACTGTCTTTCTCATTCACAGCATTTTCTAACAAATAATCTTTGCACTCATGTCCAACAAAGGTATTTAATATTTCTCCGGATTCCTTATCAAATAATTTTATTGTATTATCTGCACAACTTAGAATATAACATTGGCCGTCTCTTGTAAGGTTCCCATAAGTAATAATATGGCCGATGTAGTCAGAAATCATCTTTCCAACACGAATATCATACAGCCTCACATGGCTATCCACCGATGTAGTCAAAACTTCATGGTCAGTAACCTGTATAGATGTGATCGTGTCCTTTGCATCTTTTAAAACCTGTACTGGTTCTTGTCTACGGCTGATCACGTCCCAAAAACATACTGTATTGTCTATTGATCCTGAAACTGCCATTGTGGATTCTTCATTGTATTTTATGCAAGTTACAGAGCCGGCATGGCCACGATATCGTCGTAAAGGTTGTCCTGTAGTTACATCCCATAATATAACCGATTTATCTGTACTACACGATATTATCTGACTGCTGTCGCAGGATCCGGCCGCGTCTAACACCTCGTTACCATGTCCTCCATAGGTTTTTAATAGAATTTGTCGATGTGGGTTCCAAAGCTTTATTTTCTTGTCGGCGCCACATGTGAGGCAGTATGTTCCATCTACGTTGAACCTGACGGCGCGAACTACTTGTTGCTTGCATTTTATTGTCGATAAAATAGTTAGTTCAGTCATTTCAACCATTATTTATTGAAAAACGAATGTACACAGTTTTTTTACCACTTTGTTTTGATAGAATTTGTTGACATTTTGGTTGACAACTTTTAAAATGTCAAAATTTCAATAAATAAAAAGAAGTTTATCAATAAACAGCCAGTTCCAAAATAAAAAATCAATAAACGTTTTTGTATCCATGCTTGTATCCTTAAAAAGACTTGTTTGGAATTGGAATTAAAACAATTTGTATTAAAGAAATAATGATTCTTAAATTCTAAATCTTTGTAATATATTTAGAATAGCGCCATCTCTCGTGTCTTTTCCGAAACAAACAGTAGCCATCTACCGGAATTTCCACGCAATACTGACGCTATTGTTTTCAACAATGGTGGCACATCAACTGCTGTATACATGCGGTTACAAAGATTATTTAATTATATTGCTGTTTACATTGACACAGTGACTCAGTTCAGATCTATTATGCGCGTTATACTATGTTACTTATGCATAGACATTTGAACGCCCCACCTTACGCCTTGTGGAGACAAATAGCGAGTTTCGTTGCAAAATTTCAATGACACAAAATTATTTTAATTACTATAGCCTCATAGAAAACCAGCGTACGCTTGCGTGGTTCACCATGTTACCAGAGGTCCAATCTTCCCCCTTCCCATCTATGATCTCCAAATACCTATTCCCAAAGAACCGGCAACGCAATTACTATTACTCTTCTGATGTTTCGGGTGTCCACCGATTGCTTACGTTTATTTATGTGGTGCGTTTGCCGCTCTATTATCCCATAAAAATACTACCTACTTCGTTAACATTCAGTAACGTAAAGTAAAAAAATAAAATAAAAAAGTAATGACGATATGGGCCAATGAAGTCTAAAATAAATAATCAAATAAAAAAATATAACATGAAACGTAGCACTAACATCCTATTTTTGGAGGTGGAGGAGGGAGGTGCTACCTAGCTTACCGCTTGCCCTACGGTTCGGGAATCTATCCTTATAACCAGAACCTTTGCTCGATCAATGATGCAATCGCAAACAATACAACAGTGTAATTAACTTATTATTTATTATTAGGTATTTTTAATTTAACAAAATCATGTCATTTTTCATGATGACCTACTTTTTTTACGCGTGATAATGACGGGTGCTGGTAGATTTATCTTCATTGCTACTCAGGGATTAACATTTTTATCCTGAGACCTACTCTGGACAAACTTCTAAATTCCACACTTAACTATTTAATTTTGTAAGTAAAAACCAAAACCACCATAAACACAAAACTGCGATTAATCACAAATCATAACAAATTCCCGCCAAAAAATAAAAACTTAAAAAACCAGAGCCAATAAATATAGCCGACTACGACAACTACGCATTCTGCCTGAATATTTAACCAAAATTATTTATAATCTGTATTCCCTGTAAGTTCCGTAGTTTGAAGGACGCAGTGGCCTGTTGTCCGCATTATGTCTACTGCATGTGGTAGTTACCGCAATCTAGTGACCTGCTTTGCCGGTTTCGGGCCGTACACGATACGGAAACGATTCGGACGGCGAAAAATACTAGAAATATGTCACTTTGATAGCGCCATGTGGAGTTGTTCCGATGTTACGTAGACGTTTAAGAAATTGGAGCTTTTATGAAATCTTTTAAGATTATGATGTTTCTATGCTTGATAACCTATAAGTACCTATTATATTTCTTTTTTTCAGTGGCTAGAGTGGCGAACGGATGGTATTGAAATTATGACGTAGAAACTTTGAAGTAGAACTGCTTGATAACCTATAGCATGTTTTTTTTTCAGCGCTGCCCTTAGACACCCGCAACACCAGAGGAATTACAATTGTGTTGGGTGAGATGGGTCTTGCGGTAATATTACTCACTAGTTTTAACCCGCGGCTTCGCTCGCGTCACAAAAGGATAAAAAGTAGCCTATGTGACATATACCTATACATACAGCGCCATCTATACCAATACTTTTGTTTTCCCGCGGGAATATCAATTTTTTCCGGGATAAAAGTACCCTATTATTTAATCCGGACTTGTAACTTTACGTCTGCAAAAATTCAAAGCAATCGGTTTAGTAGTTACGGCGTGAAAGCGGAACAAACAAACAAACAAAGTCACTTTCCGATTTGTAATATTATAGTAAGGATACTCCTACCCACGACTCAATGGCTGTGTAGTCCTGTATTCGGTCCAGATGGTACCCACGGAAAGAGATGAGGTGGTTACAAATTGTATTCTACTTCGCCGTCATCACACGACTTTAGTTTAAAATAATGGAATGAAAACTGCCCACTCATAGACAAGGGCGGCGTAACCTTGCAGAAATATTGATTTCTTGGACACCATTAGCTGCTATTCTCAGTATTGGAACTGCATAATAATATGTACAAGCACATTTATTATTTACTAGCTGCTGCCCGCGGCTTCGCCCGCGTTCCCGTGGAATAATTCCTACTTCTGCTTCGAGCTGGAGCCTCGGTAACCCGCTAGGTCGCTCGCAGCGCGGGACTAAATTTATAAAGCTATGATTCGTCGTGTGAGTGAGGTTATCGAAAGCCCTCCAAATTACCAAATACTCTAATTCCTAAGTTCCAAAAGCTCGGCAACGCACTGGTAACTTCTCTGGTGTTGCGGGTGTCCATGGGCAGCGCTGTTGCTTACTGTTAATACGGATTACCTGATGGGACGTTGGCTGCCTTATTCCATAAAAAATAAATATAGTTTCCGCCTACCTAAGTTTAATTTCTACGCATCGTATCCTCTGCAATGCAGGCAAAGAGAATGGTCATTAAAGAAAAACCTTTTTGGTAGGAACTTACATAAGCTGAATGGAAATGTCCTTGTAATATCTTGTTTAAAAAATAAATGGGTGCCGTAGACAATGTTTTGTTTTATTTTGTAGTTCTCTCTTTGAATTTGAATTAATGCAGCTAGCTGTACTAAGACAACAGATAATAATATATAGAGATGATTTTGTAAATTAAAACATAACTAATTCAATTCTTTTTTTGTGAATTTGTTTTCGATTGTACCTCTATGATTGACACAGTCGGCTGCTGCGCAACGTAGGTATCACGGGTTCGATTTACGCGCGGAAAACCTATTTGTGTGATCTACAAATTGCGTTCATTTAGGAGATCCATGCTTCTATACTGCCCGCTATGTGAGTGAGGGTAGTGGATGTCCAATCCTATTCCAATCTCCAACTTAAGTCCATGTGTCGCCTGGACAATCAGTGCTTTTTTTTTTTTAAGGGGGGAAAATCATCGAATGGCTGCTCCCGCCTGGGCGAGGCGGGAGGGAGTGTCAGACTCTTCCTGACTAAAAACCCCGTTCCTTCTCCTACACGTCGAGCCGGAGCCCCGGTTACCCGTTAGGTTCTCCGCGACGCTCAATCAGCGCTACCGTCAGTTGACTGGACAATCTCTTTACATGAGCTGCTGTTTACATGTGAACATTAGCTCATGACGATACCTAAGTACGTGTGTAGCCTGGACAGTCACCGCTACCATCAGTTGACTGGACAATCTCTTTACATGAGCTGCTGTTTACATGTGAACATTAGCTCATGACGATACCTAAGTACGTGTGTAGCCTGGACAGTCACCGATACCATCAGTTGACTGGACAATCTCTTTACATGAGCTGTTGTTTACATGTGAACATTAGCTCATGACGATAGGTACCTAAGTACGTGTGTAGCCTGGACAGTCACCGCTACCATCAGTTGACAGGACAATCTCTTTACATGAGCTGCTGTTTACATGTGAACATTAGCTCATGACGATACCTAAGTACGTGTGTCGCCTGGACAGTCACCGCTACCATCAGTTGACTAGACAATCTCTTTACATGAGCTGCTGTTTACATGTGAACATTAGCTCATGACGATACCTAAGTACGTGTGTCGCCTGGACAGTCACCGCTACCATCAGTTGACTGGACAATCTCTTTACATGAGCTGCTGTTTACATGTGAACATTAGCTCATGACGATACCTAAGTACGTGTGTCGCCTGGACAGTCACCGCTACCATCAGTTGACTGGACAATCTCTTTACATGAGCTGCTGTTTACATGTGAACATTAGCTCATGACGATACCTAAGTACGTGTGTCGCCTGGACAGTCACCGCTACCATCAGTTGACTGGACAATCTCTTTACACGAGCTGCTGTTTTACATGTGAACATTAGCTCACGACGATACCTAAGTAGCGACTAATGAGGCGTATCATTAGAGTGTGACGTCACACCCACTTAAGTTATGACATTTTCTTTCATACAGCGTGAAAGAAAATGTGATATTGAGAGTGAATGAGACAGCGATACACTTGTCTCTCTCCACCTCCCTTCCTACGTAACATTTTCATGAATGTGTTGTTGTTTTTTAAAAAGAACTACTTTTTTAAGTATGTTAATTTTAATATGTTTAACTTAAAAGGTAAAATGTCGTTCAAAACGGTAATTATATAAGCATGTACTTTTGAAAGGAAATAAATATTGATTAGATTCATAATTGAAGTTCGGTTTTGCGGTTTTCCGATGATAATGTCACATAAAATCTAATTAAGCGTTAAATTATAGTTCCTACCAATATGGGTGTGTAATGTGTATACATAAACTACGAATATAGGCCACTATGCCACGCAATAGAGACAAACTTAATAACCTAATTCATTACAAAGTAATTTAACTTAAAGCAAATAATATACAAGTCTTGTAAAACAGTAATTTCAACAAATATTTCAGTAGTTTCAGCCTATCAAAGTATGTGTATAGCGTGGCTGTATCAATGTGTATGTGTGTGTGTATGTGTGTTAAAACACTGCATTGTGACCGAAACATTTAGGTAACAGGGGAAATTAAAAAAGAAAATCTGACATTTTCTTTCTCCGCCATATTGCGATATAGCTTATGGTTAAACTCGAAACTTAAAAAAAAAACAAGAGACGTTGGTACGAATAAAAAAATTGTAATAAATACTTTTTTGTCCCCTGAATTCAAATACGGAACGCGGCATGCGCGCGCATCCTACATCGACCGATATGTTATCGCTAGTTCGAGTCC